GGTAGTCCATCTTAAATTAAAAAAAAAATAATTCATATGAATTGAGGCTTTCTCTCTGCTCTGTGTTAGCATTACTCTACTGTACTGACCAAAGCCCAGCGACTTGAGGCCTCAGCTTAGAAGGTCTGTGGGCCCAGCCTTGCCAATGAATGCATCAAGCCTAATCAAATTATGAGTATGATATCGAGCAGATAAGAAAGGAACCTAATCTTATCAGATGAGCTGAAAAGCTCAAACAGAATGTACACACGAACATATAAATTGATGCTAAGTGAAATCAATCCCAAGATAAGGACATAAGAAGTCTTTCTTTGTTGTTGTTGTTGTTTATGTTTTGTTTTGTTTTTTGTCCGTCGTGGGGGCTGAACTCTGGGCCTGGGTGCTGTCCCAGAGCTCTTCAGCTCAAGGCTATGACCCTACCACTTGAGGCACAGCACCACTTCCAGGATTTTTCTGCTTATGCAGTGCTGAAGAATCAAACCCAGGGCCTCATGCATGCCAGGCAAGCACTCGACCACTGAGCCAACTTCCTAGCCCCTGCTGTTGTTGTTTTAAATGTACTAGGTAATTTTAAAATAAGTTTTTTATTGTGAAAATACTGTACAGAGGGGTTACAATCAAGAGCAAGATAATAAGTACATTTCTTATCATGCATTGTTGCCTCCTCCTTTGTCCCTACCACCCCTTCCCTCCCATCTCCATAACTATATATCTCCCCTCCCCCCCCGTCCCGCCGCCTAATTTGTAAAGTTCATTTTTCGACATAGTGTCTTGTACATCTCATTGTTGCAATGGGTCAACCTGTATCCCTGTTTAAACAATTTGTTTTTTCCCTTCCCCTTCCCAAATTATACCAGTATCAAATACAGTGAAAACAGGGGTTATACCGTGGGGGAGGGACATACAAAGCAACAAAAAATCATGTGGTATCTTATAAATATGTTAGAAACAATAGCAAGAAAGGAAAAAACACTTGTGTTCTTATCTTGGGGTTATTTCGCTTAACATCATCTTATCTGACTTTTTCTGCTTGTCTCAGATATATACTAGTTATTGCAAATAAGGGAATTCATGGGACCTATGTTTCTTTAGGCCTGCCTTACTTCACTTAGCTTCTGCATAGCAAAGGAAATAGCTAGCAAGATCAATAGAAAGCCCACGGATTGGAAGAAGATCTTCATTAGCCATACAATGGACAAAGGTCTCATATCTAAAATATACCTGGAACTCAAAAAAATAAATACCCCAACAAAAATCCTCAAAGAAACAACTGCCCAATAAATAAGTGGGTTAATGACTTAAAGAGAAACATCTCTGAAGAGGAAATAACAATGGCCAATAGACACATGAAGAATTGCTCAACCTCTCTAGCCATAAAAGAAATGCAAATTAAAACAACATTGACATACCACTTCACCCCAGTTAGAATGGCTATAATCAAGAACTCTAATAACAACAGATGCTGGAGGGGATGTGGACAGAAGGGAACCTTACTGCATTGTTGGTGGGAGTGTAAACTTGTTCAACTACTTTGGAAAGCAGTATGGAGGTTCCTCAAAAGACTCCACATAGAGCCCCCCCTATGACCCAGCAATCCCACTTTTGGGAATTTACCCAAATGATCACAAACAAGACCACACTAAAGCTACCACCACAACTATGTTTATTGCAGCATTATTTACCATAGCGAAGATATGGAACCAACCCAGATGCCCCTCAGTAGATGAATGGATCAAGAAAATGTGGTATATATACACAATGGAATTCTATGCCTCCATCCGAAAGAATTGCTCCCCTTGTTAGTAAATGAAAAGATCAGGTGATTTTTTTTTGTTTCCTTTGTATGTTCTTTTCCTTATGGTATCTCCCTTGTTGTCACTGTACTTGATTTTGGTACTCTGCATCTTGTATATGCATTTGTCTAATTTGGGGAGGGGAATAGGAATAACAAAATGGTGAAACAAGGACATAGAATGACCCATTGCAACAGTGAGACCCACAGGATAGTATATTGGGAATGAACTTTATAACTTCGGCTGGGGGGAGGGTTGGGGTGCAACGAGTGTGGGAGGTGGGGGAGGGAAGGGATAGTGGAGCAACAGCAAAGGAAGGGGTAACAATGATTGATAAATAATGTACTTGTTGCCTTACTCGTGTAGCTGTAACTCCTCTGTACAGCATCTTTACAATAAAATTTAAAAAAAATAAAGGGGCCTATTTATATATAACCAACACGTAAAGAATGCCTTGTAAAGGTCTCAAGTTCTAATTTTCTTTAGCAGCCTATTCCATCTAAACAGACTATGCATTAATCAAATTAGTGTGAGAGAGTTGTTTGGTGGAAATGAAATCAAAACAAAGATGTAAGTTAATTGATTTGATTATCTGTGGCTATTGGGTTTTATGATGACAGCCTTATATATGTTTAAGAGTACTGGCTTGTGTTTTGAGGGTTAATACAATAGTTAGGCGTTTTGGACCCAGTACTTGTCTACCTGGATGCAAACTCTAGATTGTCCCCCCAGTATCTGCATTACCTTGCATGAGATACAGGTGTTTCCATTGTAATGCTCATATAACAAACACCTGAAAACTAACTGTGCAGTTTTTGTTATGCTCTTGGTACTCTGTTAGAAACTTGTAGAGGGCACACAAAAAATGGATTGCCTCTTTTTCAGATCTTCTGGACTGTAGATGGAAACATGGAGTTGAAATTATGGCTTCTTTAGATGTGTCATTCACTCAGTTGATGGTGTCAACTCTGTGTGAGGACAGTTTACTGAGTCTCCTACTCATGCTTTGTCCTTGGGAGTTGGATTCCTAACATTAGCATGACTGGGAAAATGCATTCCAAGACAGACACTCAGAAACTTTTTGTTTTTTATAAATGAGCTTGGCAAGTCACAGCATTGTTCCTACTGTACTTGATTAATGACCAAAAATGCAGGGAAGGAGACACCACTTTTATGTCAAGTTACAAGGTTTTGGAAAAACACATGTAACCATTTTTGTAAACTACAATTTGGTGCGCTTACCTTGTCTTCTTTATCTATAAAATGAGGATAATCATGTAACATTCTAGATAATTGGTATGAGAATAAATTCAGTCAATATTGCCTTCATAGACTAATTGCTGGTTATAGTAAACACTCTCTATCCTAATGTTACCTGTGACTTTCATTCTAATTTTTATGATCATTTTCTTATTATCCTATTTTGTCATATATCCTATTAAAATTAATTGATGTCTGAAGTAGCGTATTTCTCTTTACAGTGACTATGTTAGATTCAGTTTTTATCTGCTCTGTATGGAAATCATAGGTTAACATTCAGAAATTAGCTTTATTTGTAAGTTCTTGCCTATTTGTCACATAGTAAAATATAAATTAAGCTATATGATTCTTGTTCACAAATAATCCAATTCTCTAAGTGGAATTTCCCATTCCTAACTTAACAAACCACTCAAAATTATCTTGCCTTCTGTCTCCAGAAGAACATTCATTGGTGTTTCAGGTCTGTTACTGAAAAATTAGCTTTTAATATTGTCATTCAGGTATAAAAAATATTAAAACTGACTCCATCTAATTCTATGGAAATATTTATAGCATTTGGCCCTTCTAATGAAAGTTAGTTTGCTGTGGTTTTAGGCAAGTTTCCAACATAAGTTTCTAAAGTTTGTAGCTCTTGGACTAGAATTAGGACAAGGGAAAAGTAAATGGATCTCTGTTTATCATTTGGGCTTTTTGAAGAATACCTGTGACATAATATAAATCACTAGGGATCAATATGGACACCAGGCTTTCATGAGACATATATAATGTGGAAATATTTGTAAAGGCAATTTTTTGCTGAATTACCACGTATTACCAGTACCACGTATATATTTTTTAACAACTTATACTAAAGGTTTGATGTAATGTCAACTTTCACATCTTCACTGGTACACAATGGTTAATTTTGTATTTAGTAATTAAATTATCATTATGCTTTTAATCTGAGTCTATGAGTTTATTACTCTTACCACTGTGGATAATGTTACAGGGGGTTAAGTTTTTCATGTGTTTTTACTTAGAATTAATTTTGAAGAAGTCACTAATATAAATTGCTATCAAAGTAATTCAAGTAAGTTATTTTTCTAAGTTTTTCTAATTTCTCTATCTTTCAAAGCAGACAACGTTTTCTGTAAAAGAAACCTGGGAAAGAAGTTATTTTTTTTAATTTTTTAATTTAATTTAATTTTGTTTTGTGAACATACTGTACAGAGGGGTTACAATTACATGGGCAGGATAATGCGTACATTTCTTATCAAGCATTGCAACCTGGAAAGAAGTTATTAACTTAACCAAACTCATGCATCTAACTTAAAATTACAGATAGTCCAAGTATGTCAATAGGCAGCAGTGCAGTTATTTTCTAAGTGGTTTGTATTAGATTTGACAAACATGTGTTTAGTCATGGAGGATAGTGCTAGGTTTTAAAATCCCCAAATACAAAATATGAAACAATGTAGCTAAAATGTATTGACATCATAGCTTTGGTACCTCTAAATGTTCACAACTGTTTTCTTTCATACTTTCCTCCTATCCTTTGAGTGTGTGAATGCCAATATTCTGAAGTTGTCAGTGATCCAGTTCTAAGCATAGAAGTGTGTTCTATTTGAGCATGAGTGGGGGGAAGGGAAGGAAAGGAAAACAGAATGGGAAACCAGAAGAAGATCATTGATGTTGAACAGAGGTGGCCAAACTCCCAGGAGAGACCAAAGGCAAGGGAAGAAGGAAATGAAACAGACAGATACACTCTGAGAAATCACAGAAAATGGAATAAAAAGAAAACTGCATCAAGACTGAAAATGAGTAAATCCAAGGGGGGGATATTGGTGTCAGAGAAAACATGGTTTGTTTTTTTTCTACAGTCTATGTTAGATGTTTTTAGCTAATTCAAATGATGCAAATGTTGGAAACACATGTAAATGATTTTAACTGTATATGCTTATCTTCTAGAAAAAACAGGATGATTTGCTGAAAGAAAACTACCGTTTAGCTCAAGAATATCAAAAGACTCAGACAATTTACATAGAGGAAAAGGATGCTTTCTTCAATCTATTCACCAGGCAGCTACCACTCTATGAGTCAGTTAGTGACAAGAAGCAGGTATTGGTTTTCCTTTCTTCCTTTCTTCCTTCCTTCCTTCCTTCCTTTCTTTCTTCTTTCTTTCTTTCTTTCTTCCTTCCTTCCTTTCTTTCTTCTTTCTTTCTTTCTTTCTTCCTTCCTTCCTTTCTTTCTTTCTTTTTTTAAAAAATGATTTATTTGATACGTGTATCACAAAAAAGTAAAAAAAAAACACATATCATTTTGGAGAGTCTTCAACATGTTGAGTATCCTTATATAACCAAAAAAAGGCATGTTTTCTTTTTGTAAAGAGTTTTTTGGTCTATTTCAGTAATGTTTTCAAAATTGAATCTTGGGAGAAATGTTTGAGACATAGACAATGTATAATCTGCCATTTCTCAAGTACTTGCTTTTAATTGTCATGCCCCTTGTCTCCCCAGCACCTCTATCAATCTAGCTGATTGGCAATTTAGTTAACCCTTTCCAGTCTTACCTTTCTCATCTACAATGTAAGAGACTAGTTTTCTCACCTATGATGTCAGAGTGACCTCACAGGTTAATTGGTAAAGAATAAAAAAGAGACATTCATAATCATTTACTTTAAATATGAAGGATTATTATGTAACTGTAGGTATTATTTCACTCACCCATATGCTGCTTATAAATTTAACTCCATTTCTCCTCTACCTACTCAAATGAGAGAGTTCCAACTACACTGGGTAGAAGAAGGATGTATCTTTCATTTAACAAATGTGTACTGAAATAATATGAGAAAGCAGATCAAAAACTGAAATAAAATACTTAAGGAAGAATTGAACATACATCCACCCTGCCCAAATCTTAGTATCTTCAAATAAGTGTGTAAGATTCAAGGAAAGAATGTGTCTGTGGAGTATTTATCCAATCATTTAATGTAGTTGGCATTGCTGGTGGGATCATAAAGGTCCTATGTGCTGCTGAAAATTGCAAAAGGGAAAATCATCCATTCTTATTCTCTATTTTATTTTCAAATCAAGGGGAGAATAAAGAACAAGTGTCTAGGGTTGGAAATGTGGCTTAGTGTTAGAGTGCTTGCCTAGCATGCATGGAGACCTGAGTTAGATTCCTCAGTACCACATAAAAAGAAAAAGCTGGAAGTGGCACTGTGGCTGAAATGGTAGAGTGCTAGCCTTGAGCAAAAGAAGCTCAGGGACAGTGCCTAGGCCCTGAGTTCAAGCCCCAGGACTAGCAATAAAAAGTGTCTATGTGCTCAGTATAGTTCTTTGATGGCAAAGGATAAATATATTAAATAGCTGAGTAAATATTGGAGACTCATGCCTTTCCAGAAAGAATCCTAACACAATCTTCCTTTAGTCTTACTCCCATTGCATGAATAAAAGCAAGCCCTGTTGCAAGGTACACGGAGTGAGATCTGGCCTGGCAGGCAGCGGCGAGTGTTAGGAGACAAGGTTTGTGTTTGTGATTCCCCAGACGAATCACTTGGGGCACACCTGTTTCAGGGAAACTTTCAAAGATTTATTTGGACTTCTAGTCATTTTTCATCTCCATCCTTCAGCAATGGAGGTCATTAAGTGCAAGCTGCCCTTGTCAGTGTCATGTAGGATCAATTTGCTGCAATGGACAGAGAGGCCTTATTGATGCTGTTAAATCTGTCAGTGAGAAATCGTATGTCATTAGCGTCTAATGCACTGCTTACAGGATGGAATTTGGCCATCAAAAAATGAGAAAACCTTTTACTATTTTAGCCCAGAGGGTTGATAGTGCAGCCTCTCTGATATACATAGGTTTCAGTTTGGGGTAGGCAAAAGCATTCTTTGATCGCAGATTCCCTTGTCGCATTCCCTTGTTAAATAAAATAGTTGATATACACTTTAGGATTTTTGAATGTCTTTGCTTTTCTTGATTAGCTTTGGTGCTTCTGAACCTGAATTAGTTAGGTGTGATAAATAAAGACATTTTAGTAATTGTAATTCTTAGATGGTATAAGTCTCTTTGCACAAATTATTTTAATTTTAGGCCAGGAGAGCTTGATGGAAGAATATGATGAGTGAAAAATAGTATCTCTTTCCCTCATCATGATTTTTATACACAGATGTTTCAAGTGTTGGAACATTGCAGCATTCCTCTCATTGACAATGTTATGTCTGCTTTATCTCCTGTGTTTCCTTGATACTTCCCTGCATTTTGAATATTTGCAGCAGAAAGTATTTTCCCCTCTAAGAATCAGACAGAAGTAAAAGCAATTATGTAAAAGTTTTATTTTCCCTGTTCATGGGTAACGATGGAATAGAATCCAATCTAAAACTTCTCATATGTCAAAATTAAAAACTAGAAAGGAACGAAGGAAAAAATAATCTTGAAGCCAGGTTTTACCTCTATGTGGATATAGACATTTTCATAAGGAAATTGTCAATGTATTTTATGTATTCCCTTTAAAATATTCATGAATATTTTGGTGAAATCATCAAACATTTGCTTTTAGTTTCACCTGCAATTCTTGGACCCACAACAAATGGTAAGTTAAACCTGCATGCAAATGTTGATGTGGTCTGTTGGCTGAAAACTAGATCTCTTCCAAAACTAGTTTAAGGATATTTTTTAAATTCTTTTCATGAGTCACTTGGGAAGTTAACCCTTTCCTGCTCCAAATCCAAGTGACTTTAAACTAAGGAAATAAAAATTTAGGAACCAAGCAATATTTATCAAACACTTAAATATATCCAGGTGTCTATCTACATTGTGTACCATGAAATTTGCAAGTACCGTGTGTGTGTGTACATTGTATGTATGTGCTGAACTCAGGACCACCGTGCTCTCCCATAGTATTTTTGCTGAAGGAGAAAAAGCATTTTCACTCTACTACATGAGCCACAATTTAGCTTACAACTTTTTGATGGTTGATTGGAGATAAGTGTCTTGAACTTTCCTGCCCAAGCATGAATCAGGAGTACCTGGTTCAAAAATATTCTCCTTTTAATGTTCCTCCATAATCCTGGAAATATTTTCCATAATTGCTGTTATGATCCTCAATAGAAGACATGGAAACAAGGTTAAATGTGACAGAAGACCACACAAGTACGAATGCGATTGAATGCATCAAAATTTGTGATGACAAGTTTAACTACATCCATCCATCTATTGTATAACCTTAATACTATATTAATTAAGCCGTCTTGCACATTCAGACATGTTGAGGCCTCACAGAACTCATTCTTTAAATTAGTTAAAATAAAATATGACTCACCATAATACTGCTGTTGATGCTGCAGTATACCCAGGAGTATGCTATCCTATCTCAGCCTCATCGCTGAAGACTATGTACCTAAAGAGGAGGGGGGAATTCTTTCCTGAAATATACAGAGAATTAAAGACCTTCGGCGACCTTTGTCCATGCCACCCATAGAAGAATCATGTAATTTTCCATTGAATTTATATGGCTTGGTCTTGTTGAGTGAAATTCCCATTGCCAACACTCAAAAACTTAAATCATTTGTAGATTTCTCTTGCATTTCTTTCTTCTTTCATCATTTTTCAAATGCCGTTTCTTCTGATACTCACCTTGGATGGATTTAGACAGGAGATGGTCAATTCTAGCAATAATATAATTATCTTTCAAGAGGAATGTGAAAGTAGCTTTAGTTCCCAGAGTTATAAGTGTTTCCCCTAATGTTTGTTGTCTGGCATATATTAAAATTCTGCTTTGGATGGTGATTTCCCAGTGGTTGTCTAAGTAAAGACATAAATTTATTTCTATCATAAGAAAATTTTAAAATTTTCCAGTCGTTTGGGTTTAAGACATTTATTTCTTAGGACACAAATATTTGTGCACATGTCCACACATATGCAATCTCTCTATAATACAAAATTATATACAACACTAGCATTTCTTTGGCTGCTATTCACAGGAAACATGCATGCATGCTTACTTGTTTGTTTTAAAGAGTTTCTAGACTTGAGAAGCTTCTATTAAATTCCTACCATCCCTTTCTCTGAAAAGTTCTCCTCTACAACCTTTTGTGATACATATGGACTAACACTAGACAGCTAGTAATAAATCCTTTTATTTCTGCCACCCAAGTCTCAATGAGAAATGCCTAAACTTTATTTCTGGATAATGTTTTTAGAGAAGTATAACTCAAATCAAGTGATTTTTTCAGCTAAGGTCCAGTTTTGAGGGGACTATAGATTTATGTACCTTTCATGCAACTTTGAAAACAGATTCTTCTGGTGGGCTTGCATATCAATGATCAGGTTTTGATGTCAGCAACATATTAAAAGTTATTTATTGAGTTTGATGATAATGGATCCCTGGTAGATCAAAGACAGTCAAGGTAAAATTTTCAAATCTGTATTTCATATGTATATATTTTCCATCTATTTTGTGGATCTCACAAAGGTTATATTTTATTCCCCAATGTATATCTGGATATCTGGGCAGTATCTAGAAATATTTGTAGTTGCTTGCTCCCAGAATCTAGTGGAACAGATGCTGCTAATATCCTTAATTTTTCAGGACAGCCTGCATACATCTATCTATCTATCTATCTATCTATCTATCTCCCATCTATATACCCATCTATCAATCTATCATCTATCTATACTTGGTGAGACCATATCCCTGATCCCCTTCCAAGATTTAAAGTATATTTCAATATTAAAAAATACTGAGATCTCCCTCTTTGCAGACTACATGACCTTGTATTTAAAGAATCCCATAGACTCCACACCCAAATTACTCAAGCTGATTCAAAATTTTGGCAAAGTAGCAGGGTATAAAATTAACCCCCCAAAATCAATGGCTTTTCTGTATGCCAACAATGAGAAAAGTGTGGATGAAATTAGGAAAGCAACTCCATTTGTAATAGCCCCACAAAATATAAAATACCTAGGAATTAACTTAACCAAAGAAGTAAAGGACCTCTATGATAAAAACTTTAAAATCTTGAAAAAGGAAATCAACTCAGAACTAAAAAAATGGCAAA